GCCGCCGAAGGATGAAACCACGCTTCAGCTCCTACTTTTATCATTAGAGAAGGTGTAAAACAGGCATCTTGCAGTGCCTCATCTTCCTGGGATTAGCACTTAGAGGGGCTGGAGAGGATCAAACAGCAGATTTGCTGGTCCAATTAGCCCAAATGCTGATGAAGGGAAGCATGCTGGGGTGCCGGCAGGGGTGCTGAGCACCCACACACTCCGCTTTGCCCTGCTGGTGGCCCTGTACTGACCCCATACCCTGTGCTGACCCCGTGCCCTGCACAGATCCAGGATTTGGCCATCCGGTGCGTGCAGAAGAACATCAAGAAGAACAAAGGGGTGAAGGATTGGCCCTGGTGGAAACTCTTCACCACCGTGCGGCCCCTCATCGAGGTGCAGCTCACCGAGGACCAGATCCGTGGCAAAGACGTGGGTATCCGTGCTGGGGGTTCTGGATGGGGCAGGGAGGGCTTGGGGCAGCATTGGCCCTGGGGTGGGATGCAGGACCCCATGGTGGGGTCACATACAGAAGTTAATGGTGGGGTGGGATGCAGGATCCTGAAGTGGGGCGGGAAGCAAAGCCCAGGGAAGGGTGGGATGCAGGATCCTGTGGTGGATTAGGATACAAGATCCCATGGTGGGTTGGGATGTGGGAGCCCGTGATGGGGTGAGATGCAGGACCACGTCTGCCCGCGCCAGGCTCGAATTGCTCCCTAATTTGCGAATCAGCATGTCATTAGCATCCCGAGAGCCGGCTGTTGCTTGAGCCCAATTACAAGCGTGGAGAATGGAAATGAAACCGTGCGCCGAGAGGCAAATGCGGGGGCTCCGCTCGCACTGGCAACCAGACACTGGTGCACCCGGCGAGCACGGGCTGCTGCCTGGCTCAGCTTTCACCCCGACCTGCTGGGGACAGGCACCTGGCTGGGGGCACCTGGGCAGGGGCACCTCCTGCACCCCCAGCCTGTGCTGGGACCAGAGGAAGAGAGAGGAGGATGTTAGCAGCCAGACATGCTTCCACAGCACTGCCTGGTGGCCCCTGGGCATCCTGGCAGGCCCCCTCCCTCCCCACCTGGGCTGGGTGCACCCAAACCCTTCAGCAAGCTGCTGATGTGTGGATTTGCTCCCACCTCCTCTCGCGGGGGATGTGGGTACCCCTGTGCAGCTTTTCTGGGACTGCCTGGCATTTCGACACCATTTATGGGGTTGGAGTCGGCACGACGGCGGAGCGGGTTGGGGAAAGTCCCTGCCCAGCCCTTGGCAGGGGAGAGCAGCCCCAGGGAGCCCCCACCCTGCTCATCCTGTGCTGAGGGGGGTGCTGGGGAGGGGCAAAGAGCTGCCAGCCTCCTACCCGCCAGCCTCTTGCCTGCGCCTGCCCCCTCCCTCACCGCCCGCTCTGTTGCAGGAAGAGATCCAGCAGCTGAAGAGCAAACTTGAGAAGGTGGAGAAGGAGCGCAACGAGCTGCGGCTCAACAGCGACCGCCTGGAGAGCAGGGTAGGTCTTTGCTGCTGCTGGGATGGGGTTTGGTGCCGTGCCAGCCTGGCTCAGCCCATGGTCCCATTCCCCCTGGCACCCCCAGATCACAGAACTGACATCGGAGCTGACGGACGAGCGCAACACCGGCGAGTCGGCCTCCCAGCTGCTGGACGCTGAGACGGCTGAGAGGCTGCGGGCTGAGAAGGAGATGAAGGACCTGCAGGTAAGGGTGCCCCTCCCCAGCCTCACAGTGTCTCCTGTCCCCCTCAAATGCTCACCACGGCCATGTCCCCTCCCAGGCCAAGTACGATGCCCTGAAGAAGCAGATGGAGTCGATGGAGATGGAGGTGATGGAGGCTCGGCTCATCCGGGCGGCTGAGCTCAATGGGGAGCTCGACGATGATGATTCAGGTATGTCCTCCCTCCAGTGCTGGCTGCTGGCACACCCTGCAGTGTCCCCTTCTCCCTGTGCCACCCCCACAGCCCCTTGGTGACCACATTTCCCCACACAGGTGGCGAATGGCGGCTGAAATACGAGCGAGCGGTGCGGGAGATCGACTTCACCAAGAAACGGCTGCAGCAGGAGCTGGAGGACAAGCTGGAGGTGGAGCAGCAGGGCAAGAGACAGCTGGAGCGCAAGGTGAGTGGGGGCCCGGCTCTGGGGACTCCCCTCAGCATGGCTGGGACAGCAGGGACATGGTGGCACCCCAGAGCCCTCACTGCCTGCCCGCCTCTGCCCGCAGCTGGCGGACCTGCAGGCGGACAGTGAGGAGAGCCAGCGGGCGCTGCAGCAGCTGAAGAAGAAGTGCCAGCGCCTGGCTGCCGAGCTGCAGGACACCAAGCTGCACCTTGAGGGACAGCAGGGACGCAACCATGACCTGGAGAAGAAGCAACGGAGGTGGGGACAGTGCGCTGGCAGTGGGGGGGACATGGGTGACACGCCCCTGGCGAAGTGGCATTACCATTTTAGCAGGGATTTGGGCACCTCACCAGCTTGTACTTGGCTGAGGTGTCTCCAGCAGGATGGGGCTGCCCAACTTGGATGTGTTTGTTGTGGGGGGGATCCCCATTGCCCTTTTGGGGAGCCCAGAGCTGAGTGATCCCATCCATGTGGGGTCCTGCCCCATGGTGGAGGCTGCTGGTGCCCTGCATCTCCACCCGGCACGCGCCGCCATCCCGTCCCCTCTCCCAGCCCCAAAGTTTGCTAACGTTATTAAGCAGCAGGGACGCTTTCATCTCATTATGGTAATGATCGCACACACAAATACAGCGAGAGAATCCAATCTAATTAATTTCAATTTCCGCGGATTGGAGTCTGTGCTAATGCAGCTGTTTATTACCCAGCGCAAGGAAAAATGGGGATTAGCTGCCGAGGTGTTTAACGCAGGTCACAAACTCAAGCACAGGGTTGTTTTCCAAGCCCCAAAGGCAGTGATTTTGGAGTAAGCCCAGCTGATCCCATCCCAGGGGCACTGGAAGAGACTGCCACGTGGCTGCCTGGCTACAGGCTGTGCTGAGAGCTCCTGAGATCTCCTTCAACAGGGGTTTGTGTCCCGTCTGGGGGGTTGTGTGTCCCCTTTGGGGATGGGACTGGTGCCATGTCACGTGGAATTCCCACACTGGGATGCAGCTGTGGGAGCCGAGGTACCACAAGACCCCATCTCTCCTAGGGACCCCTCCATGTCCTGCTTGGTGGATTTGGTGTCCCCAGCTGCTTTGGAGTAGCCAAGCCCCTCCCACTGGCAGGCACGGTCCCATGGGCACGTGCTGGCCCTGGAGAACAGCTGAGGTGCTGCTGGGGTTGGTGCTGCAGGTGCTGCACTCCCCTTTAGCTTGGAGTGAAGGCATCAGGAGGAGTGTCTGAGTGACTCGGTGCCACCGTGGTGGCAATTAAAGACTCATCAGCACTGTGTTTCAAACAAGCACTCAGCAGCACACCACCCTTCCCAGTGCTTGCTGCTGAGGGAAGGGGATGCTCTGTGCAGTTCCCCTGGCACAGGGCTGAGGATCAGTCCCCGGGGTGCTGAGTGCTCTCCCCACTCTCCCTGTGCAGGTTTGACAGCGAGCTCTCGCAGGCGCACGAGGAGGCGCAGCGGGAACGGCTGCAGCGGGAGAAGCTGAGCCGAGAGAAGGATGTGCTGGTGGCCGAGGTCTTTGGCCTCAAGCAGCTGCTGGAGGTGAGTAGCCCCCAGACCCTCCTCAGCCTCTCAATCACTGGGTGCCCCGGGCTGATGGTGACCCTGTCTCTCACAGGACAGGGACTCGGACATCGCAGGGCTGACGCAGAAGGCAGAGGCGCTGGAGGCAGAGCTGCAGGACATCTCCTCCCAGGAGTCAAAGGATGAAGCCTCCCTGGCCAAGGTGAAGAAACAGCTGAGGGACCTAGAGGCGAAGGTCAAAGACCAGGAGGAGGAACTGGATGAGCAGGCTGGGACCATCCAGATGCTGGAGCAGGTACAGC